TGATCGCAACCTACCCTTTGAGAACCGCTGACGAACTCAACGTCGGACCACGATCTGACACACCGCTGACGCGCACAGTCGGTGGACCGCGATCCCCTTTGCAAGGGGGGACTTACGATCCTACACACCGTTGATGCGTATAGTCGGTGGACCGTAGCGAATCAAGCCCGACACACCGCTGAGCTAGACTCAGTCGGTGGGCGAAGATCCTCGGAGACTACGGCCCTACACGCTGTCCCCTCACTCGGTGGATCGCAGCCAGCCATAGCCCTACACACCGCCTGATTACTCAGGTCGGTGGACTACAGCCTTCCTCAGCTTATTGGCCCTACACACCGCCTGGCGTGTCCAGGTCGGTGGGTCATAGCACCGAGGCCCATGTGGACCGCAACCAAGAAGTGAATCAATTCGGCCTTTAGCCTGTAACACCCCAGATTTTCAAGACTTTTAAAACTTATAGAATAAAGATAGATTCTCATTAAATCCCAAACAGAGCAGTACTAAACATAAGAATGCGGGGCGTTATGCCACATTTGAGTTGGAGAACTCAGATGCATAGGCTAAACTATCTAATTATCCTTAAACAACATCATTACATCATTATGGCATGCAGGCCGAATATGAAGTTATCTATCTAAGCCTTGGGTCCTCTAGCGCGCTCCAGAGCTAATCGTCTGTGCCTGAAAGCCAAATATATCTGTTCAGCGAATAATGCTGGTAACCCACTCTAACGCGTTGAAATACCGTATAAGTGTATATATATATATATATATATATATATATATATATATATATATATATATATATATATAAGAAAAGTCATTTTGAAGTAGGAAGATATATCCTAGGAAACTCTAGTTTCCAAACCGGAATAGACTCGACAAATAGGGACAAGCACATTCAACAGATATAACCAAGCATGTAAAGATACTAGCATATATCCTATGGGATAAGCACATTCAACAGTTGTAACCAAGCATGTAAAGATACTAGCATATATCCTATGGTCACGGATTCACTTCATCTCATTTATATCATCATTCAACTCATCACACAAGCACACTTTGTTGGCGCCACAGGACCAATCGCATGCCCATACATGAGGGTCAGCGCATATAGCTCTGACACGGCCCCGCAGCACCCTGCCTCGTATCGCAACACGAAGGGGTCGATCGCAATCGACCGATGAACCGCAGCTCATCATAATGTTTGATCGCAACCAACACTCCAACGCGTTGAAATACAATATAGGTATATATATTGATATAGATATAGGAAAATCATTTTGAAGTAGGAAGATATATACTTAGGAGACACTAGCTTTAAAATCGGGAATAGACTCAGCAAGTAGGGACAAGCACATCAAACAATGATAAACAGTTAAGTAGAGATAACATCATAAGGAATACGCATCTAAGGTCGCCGAACACTTTTCAATTCAAACACATCATCATCTAATCATCATTCATATCACATAATCGTTGATGGCGCCACGGGACCAATCGCATGCCCCGAACATGAGGGTTAATGCTTATAGCATTAACACGGCCCCGCAGCATCCTACCTCAGTACCGTGGTATGAGGGGAGTTGATCGCAACCAACCCTTTGAGAACCGCTGACGAACTCAACGTCGGACCACGATCCGACACACCGTTGACGCGCACAGTCGGTGGACCGCGATCCCATTTACAAGGGGGGACTTACGACCCTACACATCGTTGATGCGTACAGTCGGTGGACCGTAGCGGATCAAGCCCGACACACCGCTGAGCTAGACTCAGTCGGTGGGCGAAGATCCTCAGAGACTACGGCCCTACACATCGCTGTCCTATCACTCGGTGGATTGCAGCCAGCCGTAGCCCTACACACCGCCTGATTACTCAGGTCGGTGGACTTCAGCCTTCCTCGGCTTATTGGCCCTGCACACCGCCTGGCGCGTCCAGGTCGGTGGGTCATAGCACCGAGGCCCATGTGGACCGCAGCCCAAGAAATGAATCAATTCGGCCTTTAGCCAACTTCTGAGCCTTAGCTCAGGAACAATCCATTTAGCCTTCAACCACTTCCGAACCTTTAGTCCGGGAACAAACCATTCGGCCGTCAGCCGACTTCCGAACCTTAGTCCGGGAATGACCCAATTGGTCTGTAACCAAAATGGGGGATCATGCAACACATAACACATAGGGGTACGTAATAGCATATTGGGAGGTGAAAGACATATAAATAAACTTACGTGTGGTCATTCACATACTAAGAATAGTCCTAAGGGTTCATACAACTTCCACCTAGGTCTACGGGTTACCAATTCCACTAGCATGCAATTCCTAAGACTCATTTAACTTACGAATGGTACCCGAAATATCAAACTAGACTCAAGCACGACAAACAACGTCCGTTGGGACACCATGGGAGAGCGGGGAACATCAAACGGGGAAGCCAAAGACCCGGGGTGGGGTACGGACCACCCGTAATCCAAATTCAATTAAGGGATTAATTGAGTAATTAATCCTATTTCAATTTGTAATTTAATTCCTTAAATTTCTGAAATTTAATAGTTGGGGACTAGTAATTGACTAGTCAACCCCAAAGTCAAAGTTGTACCTTGAACTCTGTAAGGAGTTCCCTTGTTCCTTACACTTCCTTATGTTAGTAAGGGTATTCTTGACCTTTCACTCGTTGTTGGTAATGTATCCTAACCTAGTAAGACCACTTTCATTCTCTCCTCACACTTTTCTAAAAATCTAGCTCCTCCCTCTCTCTAAAAGGTGAGTAGCTTTTCTTCCAAGCCAAGTTGGAACCTTGCCAAAACTTCAAGAGTTGCTTCAAAGATTCAACCTTTCTTATATTTGGGCATCTATGAGGGTAAGATCTAAGTTCATCTTGTGTTTTTGGTTTTATCTAAGGTGTCTTTTCTTAAAGATAGGATCTTTATGATCTTTTTGGTGTGTTCTTGAAGTGGGTTTGGAAGGTGAGCCTTGTGAGGAGCTTGTTGAGGTGTAAAGTGAAGTCTTTAGTCTACAAGAGGTAACCCATGCTCTACAAAACCTATTTTGCTTACCTATATGTGAATATTTCTTGGATTCTACATGTGTTTTGCTATGAAATGTGAGTGTTGATGCATGATCTTGTGAAAATGCATATCTAGAGCTTGTGTTTAGGGTTCTTTTGTGCCATTGCTTGGCATTTCCTTTGATTCAAGTCATTTTGTTGTATTTAGTGAGATTTGGCATGTTTTGGACTTGAATTTGAGCTTGGAGTTGAAAATCCACGAAGGGATTGTTGTGGTACAGGACGTGTACCCGCGGGCGGAACGGCGGGAGGGGCACGACCCGTCGCTCCACCCGCGGGTACAAGGCTTGTGGGAGAGTGTTCCCGCGGGCGGAACTGCGCCGTGGGTCCACCCGCGGGTACACAATGTTGGATGTTGGGGGATTTGTTCCCCGTGATTCTTTTGACTCGGTATTTGGTCTTTTGACTTCCCGATGTTCTTTTGTGGAACTATTTGAGTGTCCTCTTGATGTTTCGTATGTCTAGAACTATATGGTAGGAATCCATGTCGGTTTTGGTGTCGTGAATCGTGCTAAGTGTTCAACATTGTGTTTCATTGAACCGTGATGAGTCTTGTGTGTTCTTCGGAACTATCTTTGGTTTACCCGTTTGATAAGCATGCTAGTTTGGTGTTTAAATGTTAGCGTGTGTGTTGTTTGTACCTTCTTATTGGTTGATGATAACTTGTGTTATTCATCGTTGTTGTTGTTGGGCTATGACCCATTCCTTGATTGAGTATGGTTTCATATCTTCGTTGTGATCCGTGTGTGGCTTTACCTGGATTGCACGATTAGTGGTATGGGACACTAGTCACCAAGGTATTGCAGCGGTCCTCGTGGTGGCCGTGACGTGATTATGGCGTTGTGACCTTTGTGTAAGGTTCACGTGATTCTTGGGTGGCATGTGTTGCCGTGTGTGTGATCGGTACCCTAGTGTACTATGAAATCGGTGGTTCTGTTGGAGATCTGTTGGAGAGGGGACGACGGTCCTCGGAGGGAAAAGGTTGGACTTGGTGTACAAGGGTCCTGGAGTAAAGGTTGGAACTAGATATAAGGTTGGGGGTAGCCGTAAGGTTGGAACAGGGCATAAGGAAGGCATATCAACTCGTGATGAGTGATGTCACGAGGGCTTGTGTAGCCGTGGTTGTGTGTTCTCTTCTTGTGACGTGTGTAGTCACAAAGGCATGTGTTGCCTAGGCATGTGTTGCCATTGGTCTTGTCTTTATCTTTCGTGTTGTGGTTAACCTTTGTGGTTTGGGATGTGTTCCCGTATCCTTGTTGAGAGTGTTGTCTTGTGTTGACTATTGATCTTGGTTTTGACTTATATACTTATGTATTCCGTTTCAAAAATGGCTTTACAACTTATATCTTATCTATGTATGATATTTCACATGTATTGGTGGGTTACCAGCATTATTCTCTGACCGGGCGTCGTCCCATGTTTTATTGTGTTTTTTCAGGTGATGTCTAGGCGAGTGCGCAGTCTAGTGCCTGTTAGCATAGCTTCTCCCGTTGGTTTTATGGCCTGTGTGCCGCCCTAGTTGTAGACTTTTGAGGCTTTTGGATAGTTGTAAACAATGCAGATATTGCCGTAGCGTTCATCCTTGTTGGTGAACGTGGCATAACACCCCATGACTTGGATTTATATTTATCCAGTTATCTTTTAGTCTTCCGCTGTGTTTGTTGTTTAGTTGTGTTATCTGCATGTTTAAGGCTTTTAAATAGCTTGTTTTTAGGGGGTGTTACAGTTGGTATCAGAGCCTAGGTTTGAGCCTAGGAAAGAGTTTAGTCTAGACTTTCTAAGTGGCTAAGTGTGGTTTGAGACCTTTAAGCGACCTTAAGAATCTAAGTATTAGGCTTAGGACTCTAGGTTGTGCGGTGAGCTGAGTGTTGCTTTCTGTTCTTTGCTTGTTTGTTATCTTTTGGTAACCGTGTTGTTGTTGTAGAGGTTTGCGATGCCTCCCCGTCAGCGTACAGCAACGTTTGAAGACGCGGGTGAAGTGGTTAAGAAATCCAGGTTGGCCGGATCTAGTGACGCTTCTGGGGTGATTGAGCAGTGGATCCGGAACGGCACGTCAACAAAAGTGAGTCCTAGTGCAGCTACCTTGCCGGCATCTCGAGATTTAAGAAGGAATGGGAGAATAGAAGTTCACCATCCGACGGAAGGGTCACCTCAAAAGAAAACGCTTATCCTAAGTGAAGCTCGAACAAGTGACAGTGATGTAGTAATTGGAACCTTTCTCGTGCAGTCCGTCCCGGCAACAATCCTGTTCGATTCGGGAGCATCTAACTCGTTCGTATCACCCAGGCTCGTGAAGAAGTTGGGTTTAACCGGTGGCGTTGGTGTGAAGCTTAACGTTAAGGTAGCATCTGGGGAAGTTAGGATGTGTGACAGTCTCTTCAAGGGCATCAAGATTAACATCAAAGGAGAGGAGTTTCCTAGCGATCTAATCCAGTACGACTTGGACGAAATAGATGTGGTCTTAGGTATGGACTGGTTGGGGCAGTTTAGAGCCCAAATCCTGTGCAAAGAGCAGAAAGTGGTGTTACGAGGGCCCAGCGGGAAGAGGGTGTCGTATCGGGGAACGACGGAGAAACCCAGGATCAAGTTAGTATCAATGATAAAGATGAAAAAGTACGTGGAGAAAGGCAATGAGTTGTTCTTGTGCTCTGTTGAAAATCTAAAGGCAAAAGGTAATGTAGCTCAGACCATACCCGTTGTCCGTGAGTTCCTTGACGTTTTTCCCGAGGAAATACCGGGTATGCCCCCTCCAAGAGAAGTGGAATTCTCAGTGGATCTTATACCGGGCACTGCACCCATTTCCAAGGCCCATACCGGTTAGCAACGAAGGAAATGCAAGAGCTGAAAACCCAACTACACGAGCTTTTTGACAAGGGCTACATCCGACCAAGTACATCGCCGTGGGGAGCTCCGGTGTTGTTTGTAAAGAAAAAGGATGGTAGTATGAGGTTGTGTAACGACTACCGAGAGCTGAACCAAGTCACCATCAAGAACAAGTACCCCCTTCCATGAATCGACAACTTGTTTGATCAACTCCGTGGCGCAGGAGTGTTTTCCAAGATTGATTTGAGGTCGGGATACCACTAGATAAGGGTGGCAGATAAGGATATTCCTAAGACCGCATTTCGGACTCGGTACGGTCATTACGAGTTTACGGTGATGCCGTTCGGTTTGACAAACGCCCCTGCAGTGTTTATGGACCAGATGAATAGAGTATTCAAACCTCATCTCGACGACTTTGTAATCGTGTTCATCGACGACATCCTGGTGTATTCAAGGGATAAAAGGGAACATGTTGGACACCTTCGGACGGTACTCCAGATTCTGAGGGAAAAACAGTTGTACGCCAAGCTTTCAAAGTGCGAATTTTGGAAGGACAGTGTAGCATTTCTGGGTCACGTAATTGATAGTAGGGGTATTTCTGTGGATCCGGACAAGATACGAGCAGTGAAGGATTGGACTGTGCCTACATCGGTGGCGGAAGTAAGAAGCTTTCTTTGCTTAGCGGGTTATTATCAAAGGTTTGTTTTGGATTTCGCTAAAGTGGCTCAACCATTGACTAAGTTACTAAGGAAAGAAATGCCTTTCATTTGGAATCAAGCGTGTGAGTTAGCATTTCGGGAATTGAAGGAGAGGCTCACGTCTGCACCAGTTTTAATTTTGCCATCCGGAACGGATGGGTTTGAGGTATACAGTGATGCATCCAAGAAGGGACTAGGTTGTGTGTTGATGCAAAATGGGTGAGTAATTGCGTACGCCTCGTGTCAGCTTAAGGTTCATGAAGAGAATTACCCTACACATGATTTGGAATTGGCCGCCGTAGTGTTTCCTTTGAAGATTTGGCGGCACTATTTGTATGGGGTGCGTTGCAAGGTTTTCACGGATCACAAGAGTCTCAAGTATACCTTCACCCAAAAGAATCTTAACATGCGGCAAAGAAGGTGGTTAGAACTCATCAAAGACTATGAGTTGGACATCCAGTATCACGAGGGAAAGGCTAATGTAGTGGCGGACGTTTTAAGCCAGAAATCGAAGCATACCGTCAACTCTATTTGGATAGTAGCTGATGAACTTTGCAAAGAATTCCAAAGGTTGGACTTGGAGGTGGTAGAGCAAGGTGAGATCGAATCGGAAGTCCGTTTTTATAGCTTAAGGGTGGTACCTACGTTTCTAGAAGAAATCAGGAAAGAGCAACAGGAAGATGCAAGCTTGATGAAGGCAAGAAATGACCTGATAAAAGGAAAAGGGGGACCGTTTGAGCTGTCTAAGGATGGAGAGTTGAGATATAAAGTCCGTTTGTGCATACCCGCATCTTGTGATCGGTGGAAACGACAGATTTTGGAAGAAGGTCATAACACGCCCTATTCGGTCCATCCCGAAGGCGACAAGCTGTACAAGGATGTAAAGGGTCTCTTTTGGTGGCCTAATATGAAGAAGCAGGTCGCAGAGTTTGTTGGAAAGTGCCTCAATTGCCAAAAGGTTAAGGCGGAGCGTTGTAAGGTCAAAGGATTCGTACAACCACTAGAGGTTCCACAAGGAAAATGGGACTCCATATCTATGGATTTTGTGGGAGGTCTGCCGACGACCCGTTCGGGTAAGGACAAAATCTGGGTGATAGTCGACCGATTGACTAAGACCGATCGCCTTATAGCGATGAAGGAGACCTGGACAATGACGCAATTGTCTCAAGCTTATGTTAATCAAGTGGTGAAATATCATGGAGTTCCGCGGGATATCGTCTCCGATCGTGATCCGAGGTTCTTGTCTCAGTTTTGGAAGTCTCTGCAGGCGGCTCTTGGCACCAAATTAAATCTCAGTACTTGTAACACCCCGTGTTACGAGTCCTAAAACCAATTAATTAATTAATTAATAGCCCAAGAGAAAGAATAAATTATAATGATTAATTAGGGAAAAATGCTCACCGTAGCCCATGGGTCCTCCTATATAAACCCAACCCCTAATCCCAATAGGATTAGACCCTAAATAAGATCCCTAGATCTATAAATAGGGAACTTAGGAAGCACCTAGAACTCCTCCCACAAGAATAACGCCCCACCACCCCAAAAGAGCTCCAAGAATCCCCTTAGGAGAAATCAAGAAAGCAAGGAAGCTTAAAGAAAGATCCTTCGTAGCCAAGGAATTTATTAAGGCTAAGAGGTAACCCATGTCTCAACAAAACCTATTTTTATAGTTATGATTTCCCCTTAGGGTTTCCCCTTATTATTATGTTTTAATGATTGGTAGTGATTATTATTGATGTTGATGTGATGATCCCATGAGGGATCTTGATAATCTTGATATTGGGAGATTCTTGATAATTATGGTGTTCTTGATGACTATATGGGGATCTTGATAATTATATGGAATTCTTGATGATTATGTGATGTTCTTGATGGTTGGATGTTATTCTTGATGCTTATGTGTTATTCTTACCGAATCTTGTAATTATAATGCAAATCGTATTCCTGTTGATATAAAAGTGATTAGAACCCTAGGTTGTATCGTATGATTTATCGGGAGGGGAAATCGCATGTTTGGGTGTTGATTATGTTTAGAAAAGCATGATAGGTTATGTGCCGTTAGTTTCTCGTATTTGATCCGTTAATTGTCTACGAGTTGTCGTTAGTTGCGTTGAAAAGTGTCTAAGCATGGTTTCGGGTTCCACAACGGTTCCCGGGGCGAAAAGTGATGAAAAGAATCAGTTGGGGGTAGGGGACCCGCCACCTACCCATGGCCGTAAAACACCGCCCGGCAGCGGGTGGCCGGCGGGCGGGCAGCTGCCCGCCGGCGACCCGCTGCCCGGAACAGTAGAATCCGGCGGGTGGCTCCCACCCACCGGCTACCCGCTGGAATTTCCCCCACCTTGGGATCCCGGCTTCCCCGTTTGATGTTCCCCGTTCCCCGTGGTGTCCCAACGGACTCCGTTTATCGTGCCTATGCCTAGTTTGATGTTTCGGGTACCGTTCGTAGGATAAATGAGTCTTATATATCGCATGCTAGTGAATTGGTATCCCATTGGCCTAGGTAAAGGAAGTATGAACCCCTTAGGATTATTCCTAGTATGTGGATGACCACGCATAGGTTTCGTTATACGTTTTCTCCCCTTTTTCCCAATGTGTCAATGTGGGTTGCATGTGCTTGCTATGTGTTATGTGTGCATGATACCCCAATTTAGTTGCGATCAAATTGGTTATTCCTGAGCTGCGGTTCAGAAGCTGGCTGCGGTCAGAATTACACTCTCGGGCTGCGGTCCACCGTTTGGTTGCGATCAAACGTTTTACGTGAGCTGCGGTTACCAGCATCTCTCGCTGAACAGATATATTTGGCTTTCAGGCACAGATGAGTAGATCCCAAAGCGCGCTAGAGATCCAAGGTGTAGAGTAGCTAGTTCCCTTTCGGCCTGCGTGCCATGATTATGTATTGACGTTATTTGAGGATTTTAGTTAGTTAGCCTGTGCACCTGAGTTCTCTAGCTCAGGTGTGGCATAGCACCCCATACTCTTATGCTTGATTTTGGGATTTAATGAGAAATTATCTTTATTATATAAGTTTTAAAAGTTTCAAAATTTTGGGGTGTTACAGTTGGTATCAGAGCCTAAGTTTGATCCTAGGATAAGACTCTTAAAGACCGGACTTTAGGACATTACAGTTGTACTCTAGGTATTTAGGAACATAGGACTCATGAATCTTAGGACGCGCGGTGAGATTGTGAAGCCTACACATAACCTCCCCTCACTTTAATCCTTCCCTAATTTAAAGAACTCCCCTTCGCTTATCACACCAAGGTAAGGGTACAACCCTCTAAATCATTATAAACATTGGCTCTATAAATCAAGCAACATGGCACCGAACAGAAAACAATCAAGGACTCCGGAACCCGCCACACACGACCCCCTGACTCAAACCCTACAACAACTCACCCAAGTCGCCCAAGCATTAAGCGACGTAGCCCTCCGCAACAATAGACCACCACTCCCTCCACCAAACGCAAACTAAGAAGTCGCCCGACAACTTTCAAGCCATCGACCACCCACGTTCTCGGGAGAAGAAGATCCCGCCACCCTCGAAGAATGGATACGGACCTTTGACAAGATTCTGGGGTTGGTAGAATGCCCAGAAGAACGTCGTGTAGAGATAGCCTCGTTATACTTCGGACACGAGGCATACCTTTGGTGGATCCATGAGGGACCCACTTACAGACAAGAACCAGGATTCAACTGGGAAAACCTGAAAACACGCCTGCGAGAACGATTCTACCCGACACACGTAAAAGCTTCTATGCACGAAGAGTTCCTCCACCCAAAACAAGGAACGACTACCATCACGGAATACCATAAACGATTCCTCGAACTGGCACGCTTCGCGCCAGAGCTAGTCCCCACAGAATCAACCAAAATAGAAAGGTTTATATCAGGTCTCAACTTCAAAGCCCGAAAAGCACTAGTAGTAAGCGGACCACGGACCCTCAACGAAGCTTACTCCAGTGCCGCCAATCTCTATCGAATCCAACTACTACAACGTGGGGTTCAAGATCAGATTCGAAAGAGGAACACAGGAGGAGGAGCACCGCCAATAAAAAGAACGAGAACCGACACCAACACAAGGCCAAGCAACCCAACTGGGCAAAGGCCACCCCCACGGAACAACAAAACCAATACAGGGGGCTTCCCTTGCCCAAAATGCCACCAAAATCATAGAGGCAAGGACTGCATGGGGAATCCCTTACGATGCTTCAACTGTGGGAAAGAAGGGCACAAGGCCTTCCACTGCACGCAACCCTCAAGCTCACGCCCTATGGCCATGGACCAACACGGAGGCACG